TATGTTTTTTTTTTTTTTTTGTATTCTGTCCAGGTTTGTTGTACAGTAATAAAGTTAAAACTTTGCAGAGATGAAGTCTTATTTAAAAATTGGCCTGTTTGTATGTTCTGTGATCAATTTTTATTTTACAGATTGAGCCTTTGAACAATTGATTATTACTTGCTTTTTACTTTAATCAAAGTGTTTGAGAACTAAAGTGTTCATCTCCCTCAAGATAGAACTGCCTGAAACAAGATACCAATAATTCCATTCTTCAGGGCTGGGAGATATCAAATATTTATCATGTTGATGTTGTTAATGTTTCATATCAATCAGTATGATTACCTTTAGATTTTTTATTTTATTTTTTTAAGCCCAGGTAAAAAAAAATGATGTGTTGTTGTAACCCAAAATTGGGTGAGATATGGACAAACAATGGGTAAATCTAAATCTGTAAATACAGTTAAATTAACCCTTGTGTGCTGTTGGGGATGATTTTGAGTCTTAATTTGGCCGCAGCTTTCTTTGTGCTTCACCGAATGGAATGATTTTTGGTAACAAATCTTATTTTGACACATAGTTTGGGAAACGCTTTGAAAACAAAAAAAAAAAAAATTCTAATACACTCTGGGCAAATTGACTACCTTTTGTTATGTTTGTGATTGTTTTTGCTCCATTGACTTCCATAATATCATTTTTTGATTGCAATGCCATGGTAGTGTTGTGTAAGGATGCTATGCAAATCGGGGTAGTTCCAAATGTAGCTTTATTATCAGAATGGTCAATCAGGCAAGGGTCAAATACCAGCATAAACGGTGTAGTAGGCAATCCTGAAGCGAAATCCAAAAAACGGACAAAAGGTTCAGGGCATGCAGGAAAGGGTCAAAGCGCGATAATCAGTTCAAAAGTCAAAAACACTGACAACAGGAAACAAGGAAAACCGCTTTCGTAAGGACAGCAACAGCTTAACAATACTCAGCCCATGTGTGGTGAACAGAGGGGTTTCAATAGTCCAAATAATCAGTGTGAGCAGCTTCAGCTGTGAGTGTAATCAGTCTGGATCTGGGACCGGTTGTGTGTGTGTTTGTGTGTGTGTGTGTGTGTGTGTGTGTGTGTGTGTGTGTGTGTGTGTGTGTGTGTGTGTGTGTGTGTGGCATGACTGGGTGTTGCAGTCCATAACATGACAGATTTGTAGTTCCATGAGTGTGAATGTTTTCCAGCGACCTCTGGTGGTTAGCGATCGCTGGTAATCATGACAGGTAGCATATAATTGATTGTTGCTTTGTTTTCCCTGCTGGAAAGGAAATAGGTAAAATGTTAAATTTTGATCATCAGTTGCAGTGCAAAAAGCATAGTTTTTGTCCTCTATAAGCAATTATGTATAGAGTATATAGTGTGTGTGTGTGTGTGTGTGTGTGTGTGTGTGTGTGTGTGTGTGTGTGTGTGTGTGTGTGCGTGTGTGCGTATACCTTTGCACACTTACCAAATAGGCATCTCAGCTCTTAGAACATAGTAAACATGGTAAGTGCATTTATGCGCACACACCATAATCTGCTGTTTTACTGCATAGAACTCCACATAAAAGCCAGAAACATATCTGCACAGACCTATCTAAAGGGTCAATGCTAGCAAATGATGATCAACAGTAAAAATGACACATTTTACCTCTTTCCAACTGGAAAACTACTAAAAATCAAGAATGCATGATTATATGCTGTCTTGGCTTCACAATCAAAAAAAAAAAAATTCATTATAATGGAAGTCAATGGGGCAAAAACAGCCACAAACATAATGAAAGGGTAGCACGTTTGAACAGCACACAAGGGTTAACATAGAAGTTGGTTGATTTGGACAGCACCTTCAACACACTTAATGGCAGCAAATCTTTTGGCACTATATGAGTAATTTCGTGCAAATGTCGACCTTGCCATGAAAAAATTTGAAGTTTCACCAAAATACGGAAACCGTTTCTGGCTTTTTGGGTGAGCAAGTATTTCACAGTTCTTTAGAAATATCCAAAAATGCATCTGTCAATGTTTTCATACTATTCTATTTGATTTACCAAAGTCACACAAGTGGCATTTCACATCTGTCACATCCATAACGGAGAAATGTCACATACATAACGACACTTTTTCATCATAAATGTGAAAATATTAAATAAAATACAATCAATAAGTTTTGTTTTATAGTGAGCCAAGTCTTATCCTTTTATTATTGTTTCTTTCGGGTTATGCAGTTTAACTCACAGAATTTCTACAAAGTATGTTATGTACTGTAAACCAGCAGACTTTTTTTGTCACATCCATAACGCATGTTTATTTTCCTTATTTAAAGTACAAAAATGTTTACAGACTGATATCTTTCTGGTCCCATAACTCTGTGGTCAGTTGTTCTGGAAAATATAAACAAAAGTTTCAATATAATGTTAACATACTTTCTTTGCAAATTTATGTTTTGAGTTTTTACTGCCAATGTCACATCCATAACGCCGGAATTGCTCATATTATTCACATTTTGCGTGAATAATTTCTCAGACTTCTATTAACAGTAAGGGTATGTTGTATGTGGAACCGAGTGTGTGCAGTGGAACAGCGCTAGGAGGAAATTTAACAAAAAAAACAGGATGGATCAGTTAGCTTATTTAGATCATCAACTGGGCACATCTCTGACACATACAGTTGGAGGAGGACTCTCTCTCTCTTTCTTTCTTTCTCTCTCACTCTCTCTCTCTCTCTCTCTCTCTCTCTCACTCAATCTCCGTGTGTGTGTGGTGTGCGTGAATGTCTGTGTGCTGTTTATGTGCATTTCCATGCTCTGTTTATGTCCATAGTGGTGTTAACATTGCATTTTTTTTACCACAGTATTGTAAATTGTCACAACACATTGTGTTTAGATGGCACACAGTATAATTATGCATGTAGATGTACTGTATGCAGGCGTGTAAATATGGCCCTCCTGAGTCATTACACTCGCTGTCTCACTTATGTTTTGACACTCATTGCAACATTTGTGTTGTCTAAAAGCACTTTCACTTGAGCCAGCGTCAACATAGAAATGTCAACGTTTGAAAGCGAACTTTTAACGTAAAATAATAGCAATAGAACTAGAAAATAAGGAAGAGAAAACTGAATTTCCTGTTTGTTTGTTTTTAATGCTTCCCAGTTTACTGTTTGAGAGTTTGCTGTATTCATTTAGTAATAGTTACAAAAATACTATGAGCAATTATCACAATTCAAAATGGCACGCTTGTTTTAATTAATATAATATTCTGTTGAATTATTCTTTTATTTGTTCCTGTGGTGACAGTGAACATTTCTTCAGCCAATGAAGTCATCGGTGACTACGTTTATCAGTAATCAAATGATTTGCTTTAATCTGAAAAAGACAATAGCATGATTAAAGTGTTTACAAAAGTTTTCATGATGCAGTTTTACATGTTATAACACATAATTTGATTAACGTCATTGTGTTACCATGCTTTCCGCATTTCCTATGGAGTTTCATGTAATTTTGGGTGATTTATTTTTAATTTGTCGACTTTGACTGCAGTTTAGCACTTTCACTTTCATTCACGAACATTTCATGCATGCCTTTGTGACAAACAAAATATTAGTTTTGAACATGCACTGGTGGAAGAGTGTTGTTTTAATAGAATTTGATATTGTACGCTGTATATAAAAAAAAAGCTGTGTGTGTAGACTCCTGTCGCAAAATGTGGCGAAAATTCTACACGACGGTAATAGTTTTATTAAGGTGTTTACATGTCTGTACAGCACTTCAATAATGCAACTAAAATCGACATACTCCACATATCTTTATTCGATTTCTATTAAATTTGATTATGACTTTAATCGAATTTAAATTAATTAAAAAATGCTTTTTACATGGTTGAATCTTAATCAGAGTATTTTTCTTATCAGATTATTGGTGTTTCTGTAAATGTACTTGCTAACTATGTTTACATGGACATCATGTCACACATAGGACATGCGTTAGGGCTTCCCCTACCGTAATACACCTAAAACACGTAAAATACGGATTGCCGTAAAACACATCAATGGCAGGCATTTTCTCTCGTTAACTGTAAGAATTTATTAATTTGATGCACATCACAAATCAATTCAGTCACGTCCAGTGGCCGTCATCCTTAAACCAATCTCATCTCCACCTGTCTGTTTTATTGCTCCGTTTGCTCCAACTTTCTTTTGCAGTCTAAAGCACGTCGAATGCACAAAACGGCCAATTCGCGCTACAGGATGTCTATATCTCATCTTTGCTATGACTTCACATGACTTACGGTACAAGCTGAAAACTCCCCCTGCCCCCCGTCTGTGTAATGTAATGATTGTGAGGGCGCAGGTGAGATGTAATCACGTGTACTGCGCATGCAACGTCTAAAAGTCACTTAAAACACTTCATTGCTAACTAAAATGCATATAATTTGATTATATGGTTTAGAAGTTGGTGATGTAGGATATTATTAAAATTTTTCGCAATTATTTTGCATTTAATTAAGAGTTTTGCAAGATCGCAAAAATTTGCGTTTTTTTTTTTATTTTGCGTTGGATTCAGCGATCTCGGAATCGTGAAAATCTAGGGGGTCTGATTGCCTTGATCACATTAAAATAATGCAATTATTGGTGTCCATGTAAACAAACTCAGTGCCATATTACAGTGTGACACGACAACATGTTTTTTAGGTTACTTTAACATATTTTAATAAGTTAATTGGGTTTTTAACTTGCTCAAAATACCACACTTAAAAACATTTTATGTTGATGGCAGCAGTTTATTTTCATAAGACAGAAGTCATTCTAGTATGCTGATTTGTGCAATAAACACCAGACTTAATGCTTCAAAGTAATTCACATATAGAATAGTGATTCCTTTATTCGAATGCCTGATAAATGTTTATTGAATGTTGATAGATTTGTTGGCATGTTGATGAAGTGGATTGTTGCATTGTAATGAGAAGATTTTCTCTTAGTGAGCTTCTTTCTTTCTTTCTTTTTTTATAGGCTTATGGATCAGGCTGTGACATTGTGATCCTCGCCAGTGATTTCGAGTGTGTTCAGATTATTCCCGGAGCTCAGAATGGAAACATTCAGGTGGGCTGTGTGGAGTGCTCTCAGCAGCTCGGCAGGGTAAGACCAAATCTCTATTTCTTTGCCTTTACATTGCTTAGAGAAAACCTCTCATCTTCTAACTTTTTTAAATCTAGCAGTGCATCAATATTTTTGCCATTTTAGTTACTACTCCTTTATTCCTGAAATACTAACATGATCATATTGGCCCTTCTAGATTGCCTTGTGGACATTTTAATGGTGAAGAACCAACAAAATGCCAATATTGTAGCTGTGTGTATGTGTGTGTGTGTGTGTGTGTGTGCGTGCATGCGTGCGTGCGCTTGTGTGTGTGTGTGTGTGTGTGTGTGTGTGTGTGTGTGTGTGTGTGTGTGTGCGTGTGTACATGTGTGCCTAGTAGAAATCCCACCGCAATAGAGATTCTAGGCCAAAATTTTTATTCCAGATGCACTTGGTTGAAAAAACGAAACCAAAACTGCTTTGTAATGATTATTAATTGTTTTATAAAAAAAATAAACAACTTAATTTATACAGATTTTTAGAAACACCAGATCAGCGAATAAGTAAAGGCATAATTTTACCAGTGTTGCGATGACAGCACAGTGGTGCTATTGAAATCAGTATGAAAAAGTATACACTACAGCCATATCACCCTGCAGCCCAAGACCGGCTACTCACTAAAGCTAAGCAGGGCTGAGCCTGGTCAGTACCTGGATGGGAGACCACTAGGGAACACTAGGTTGCTGTTGGAAGTGGTCTTAGTGAGGCCAGCAGGGGGCGCTCAACCTGTGGTCTGCATAAGTCCTAATGCCCCAGTAAAAGTGAAGGGGACACTACACTGTCAGTGGGTGCCGCCTTTCGGATGGTTAAACCAAGGTCCTGACTCTCTGTGGTCATTAAAAATCCCATGGCACTTCTCGTGAAAAGCAGGGGTGTAACCCCGGTGTCCTGGCCAAAGTCCCTCTATCGGCCCTTACGATCATGGCCTCCCAATCATCCCCTTCCACCGAATTGCCTCCATCACTGTTTTTCCACTCCACCAACAGCTGGTGTGTGGTGAGCGCACTGGCGCCGTTGTCCTGTGGCTGCTGTCGCATCATCCAAGTGGATGCCGCACACTGGTGATGGTGTGGAGAGACCCCCCCCCCCATGATTGTGAAGCGCTTTGGGTGTATGGCCATACACAATAAATGCGCTACATAAATACACATTACATTACATTATGTCCAATAAGTAGAAACAGGCATGTTATTTGAGCTGACTTTGCTTTACCATCATGTGTGGAGTGTGGCACATATAAGGGAATATCCAGGAAGTAGAAAATTGAGCTCTTTTGACAGTAAATCATGCACAAATTTGTCAACGTTACACTCTGCTGTTCTTGTGCTTTGATCCACTCAGCAGCATGGCAGTGCAATTCATTGAAATGAATGAGTTTCATAGCTCAGTGTTTTCCGTGTCCAGTGTGAAAACCGCTTCAGACCATACAGTGACTATGGCTGGAGGAGGAGTGCAAGCCTGCTGAACACCACATATTAACAAAAAAACAGCAGAAATGCAATGTTTAGGAGTAAATGTAAAAAAGAAAAATATATTTAGTTTATCATATAAAAATATTTACTTCTGTAAGTGCTCTGAAAAACACTCAGGTTATGTCAATGTAACTTTCAGCTGGCTTATCTTTTTACTGTTACTACTACTAACACAGATCCAATTTGCTGATGCATGCATTTTATTTCACACACTTCAATGTTCATTTAAGACAATAAAAAGTGTGTTTACAAGGATGCCAAATTAATATGACTGTTGGTATATGATTTTTGCATGATTTGAAATGACCACCTGTGTCTAAATGGTTTATTAACCTTCTTTATCAAATTGGGTAATTGATATTTTGAAGTATTATTAAGTTCATTTTGAGTAAATGTGAAAATGTCTCCAGTGTTCAGATACCAACTGTTATTGTATAATGCACAGTGTTACTTACTAGCTTTACCAAATGGAGTTGCATTTTCGCCATCTGTTCCTGGATTGAAAAAAAAAGACAGTCTAAAACTCGCTCTAATCACTATGTCGGCCTAGTTTAGTGCTAAATCAAATTTATTTAAAAGCTAGGATGGAAAAGAGTAATGCAGAGGATGAAACAGATAAAATATGTCTGTTTTAATTTTTTTATGATGGCACTGCTCTTTTAAAATAGTGTTATTTTTGTTTTTAGATTGCTGCATCTTATGGAAATACTGTGTGTATTTTTGAACCAATTTCTTCCAATCCAAACAAACGTCACAAGGTAAGATTCCACTTTACCATGTTGCTTATGATGTGATGAGATTGTTATTATTATTATTATTATTATTATTTTTATTATTGTTGTTATTAAGATTTTGCTATATTTGGTGAATCATCCAATAATACAATTAAATATGTTTAAACAAATTGTCTTTTAAAGTAATTATATTTAAATATAAAAATATGATATTCAGTTTAAATTCATATTTAGTTTAATTCTTAAAATAACAAATCTTTTTATTTATTTATTTTTTCCTTTTTTTAAAGCAACTGAATTACCAATGGCAGAAGACTGGTCAGTTCTTCCTCAATGCTATAACCTACAATCTAGCCTGGGACCCCCAAGGTTTGTATAAAATATGAATGAGCTATATATATATATATATATATATTTTATCATGTTGCGTTTGCAGGATAATCAATGACCTGCTATTTAATAATGGAATATGTTGCTTCGCTTCTTATTGGGTGGTTATTTTCCTCCACATCTTCCATGTACAGTTCTTTCACACAAGGCAGGTCATTGATTATCTCTTAATATTATTAGGCTGTCTGGAATACTTAATTTTAATTGGTCAGTTGCAGCATCCCAAGGTTTGTTATTTTAAGTTAACCACTGCTAAATAACACAGGCTCATCTGGGAACTTTGAATCACCTTAACCATCAGTTAATACGTTCAAATCCATGTACTTGCATCCACATTGTTATGTATTTGCTTGTCCTTCACACCTTTATTTTTGACTATTTTTGACTGTTTGGTGCCACCCTGTGATGTAATAATATGTAGGTTAGTCTATGCTCTGTTCAGCCAGTTTAGTTTCTGACAGCTTTGTGTTTTTGACTGTTTGGCACCATCTTGTGAGTTAAAAATACCCAAGTTAGCATATGCTCTATCCAGTCAGTTTCTGTTCTGTCAGCTTTGCGTTTTCATTATTTGGCGCCATCTTGTGACCAAATAAGACATAGGTTAGTATATGCTCTATTCAGCTGGATTTGATCCTGTCAGCTTTGCATTTTTTTAGTGTTTAGGGCCATCTTGTGACTGAATAATACATAGGATCTTATATGCTCTATTCAGCTGGTTTTGTTTCTGTCAGCTTTGTGTTTTGACTCTTTGTCACCATCTTGTGACTGAATAATACATAGGTTAGTATATGCTCTATTCAGCCAGTTTCGATTATGTCAGCTTTGCTGTTTTAACTCTTTGGCGCCATCTTGTGATTAAATACTACATATGTTAGTATATGCTCTATTCAGCCAGTTTCGAATTGGTCACTTTTGTGTTTTAATCCTTTGGCGCCATCTTGGGACTGAATAATACATAGGTTAGTATATGCTCTATTACGCCGGTTTGGATTTTGTCAGCTTTGCATTTGTGACTGTTTGGCACCATCTTGTGACTGAATAATACATAGGTTAGTATATGCTCTAATACGCCGGTTTGGATTTTGTCAGCTTTGCATTTGTGACTGTTTGGCACCATCTTGTGACTGAATAATACATAGGTTAGTATATGCTCTATTCAGCCAGTTTCGATTCTGTCAGCTTTGCATTTTTGACTGTTTGGCACCATCTTGTAACTGAATATTGCATTGAATAGTATATGCTTTATTCAGGCAGTTTTCGATTGTGTCAGCTTTGCACTTTTTGACAGTTTGCCGCCATCTTGTGAATAAATAATACATAGGTAAGTATATGCTCAATTTAGCCAGTTCGATTCTGTCAGCTTTTTGACTGTTTGGCGAAATCTTGTGACTGAATAATACATAGATTAGTATATGCTCTATTTATCTGGTTTTGCTTGTCAGCTTTGCATTTTTGACTGTTTGATGCCATCTTGTGACTAAATAATACATAGCTAAGGATATGCTTTGTTCAGCTGGTTTTGATTTTGTCAGCTTTGTGTTTTTGACTCTTTGGTGCTGTCTAGTGACTGAGTAATAGATTGGTTAGTATATGCTTTATTTAGCCAATTTTGTTTCTGTCAGCTTTGCGTTTTTGACTCTTTGGCGCATCTTGTGACTGAATAATGCACAGGTTAGTGTGTACTCCATCAGCTGTTTTTCGTTTCTGTCAGTTTTGCAATTAATAGAATAATTAATAAACTATTATGCCTCAGAACATTGTTTTCTGTTTAATTAATTAATTAATTAATTTTTTTGTGGCAAGCAGCTGTGTAATAAGTGAGATAAAATACATTTGCATTCCCTTTAATCAAGTACAACAGACTTCCTGTCAGGCTTTATTTTGTGATAACAACCTCCTAGATGTACTTAATCCCTAACAAATTACATGTGTTTAATATGTAGGCAACCGTATCTTGGCGGCGACAGAGCGTTTGCAGCTCTGGGCTCCTCCAGCCAGTGACGCCCTGATAGAGGAAGAGGACAGTCAGCTGAATGATGACAGAGCTCTTGAACTCGTACTTAACGACTGGAAGTGTGTCTGGCAGTGCAAGTGAGTGTTCTTCCACCTCTGTCTGCATGCTAAATCTTTAATGCCGCCTGTCAGATTTACTGAACATGAAAACACATTTGAGGAATTAAACTACTTCAAATGCTCATACACTCATAAAAATGACTCTTGCTGTTTGTTCAAACTACTTATTTAACATTAGCTGAAAAAACGCAATTCTGTTTTTTTTGTGGTGAAAACTCAATTGTTTTATGTTTAATTTGCTTACATTTGTAAAACCTAATAACTGAACTTAATTCCTTTATGGTGCCCCAATACAAATCGATTGTGTAGAAACCATTTTTTTGCAGTGTGTCATGGGAAAAGTATAATTTTGCTATTTTTAAATTAGCGTAGAGCATATTTTATTTATTTATTCATTTATTTATTTTTACTAGTTTTTTTGTAAAATGTATCTCATGTGTTTTGTTTCAGGACTGCTGCTGCTATTCTCATCACTCAGTGGTCTCCAGATGGAGAATACTTTGCCACTATTGGAAAGGTACACAACATACACATGTCAGGTTTATACCTACAGTTTGATTGCTCATTGAAAATGATGTCTACCACTGTCTGTACCGCCACAGCACGGCAAACACATTAATAAAACTGGCGTTTCTTGTAACAGCCATTTGTGAAAGGTGGAGCAAAGTGTGAACTGACAGGAATTAGGCCCATTTAGGGGAGCAATATCTTCCCTAATATCTTAATATATGTCATGTTAAAACAAGTTGGTTGTTGTTAACGTTGCTGGAAAATGTTTTGGTCCAATACAGTAAGTCTTAATTAGGTCATCAGGTGTGTTTAAGTATTTTTAGTCGGACCAATATAGTGATGTGGCGTCACTGTGGTGAGGTGGGTAGCACAATTGCCTCACAGCAGGAAGGTCGCTGGATCGACCCTTGGCTGGGTCAGTTGGCGTTTCTGTGTGGAGTTTGCATGTTCTCCCCGTGTTTGCGTGGTTTTCCTCCAGGTGCTCCGGTTTCCCCTACAGTCCAAAGACATGCTGTTTAGGTGAATTAAATAGGCTAAATTGGCCATAGTGTATGTATGTGAATGCAAGAGTGTATGGGTGTTTCCCAGTGTTGGGTTGCAGCTGGAAGGGCATCTGCTGCGTAAAACATATGCTGGATAAGTTGGTGGTTCATTCCGCTGTGACGACCCCTGAATTATTAAAGGGACTGAGCCGAAAAGAAAATCAATGAATAAATATAGTGATGTATAAAAACATTTGGATTTTTGAATTTTTTTTATAGTACATTCTTACCAGATGCAGATGACTTGTGAATCGTGAGTTTCGTCAATGCAAAGACGCGATTAGACATCCTTTGGTGATATTTGTGCAGGAGGCACAAATGATGAGATTTGAGTGACTGACACGGCGTGAATTGAGCATTTTAGGCATTTGACTTGATTCGTGTGAATCACTTGATATGAAAAATTTTTAACTTTGGTTGACATTCGTGCCGCATTAACCAATCAGGAGTTTGCTCTGTTAAGGGCATGATTTTGATGTAGCGCTACTAAAGCTACTGGTTACTAAAATTCTTTAAAGCATTTTTTTTTGTTTACGAGAGCAAGGAAGTCAAACAGGGTTGAAGAGTAAATAAAGGATAAAAAAACAAGTCATTTTTGAGTGAACTGTTCATTTACAGTTCATAAGAACCGGAAACTGCGACTCAAAAAAATTTCTTTCAAAATTTAATTTTCATTTACTCAATTTTATCTTTAAAAAATTTGTGATTTGTATCTTATGTATTATTTTTTAAATGTTTTAAAAGTTTTCTCTGTTTTACCATCAAACTGTTGAAGCAATAAGATATAAACTCTCTCTTTCTCATACTCAGAACCAAAAATTTGTAATAAAAGAAGCATTTTCTCCCTCAGGATGACTGTCTGCTGAAAGTGTGGTATCCCACCACAGGATGGAAATCTGCCGTGGTCCTGCCAGATGTGACTGATAAAAAGGCCCCAGCTGTTCATTTCTCATTTGTCTATCTGGCTCATCCACGTACAGTCACAGGCTTTTCCTGGAGGAAAACCAGTAAATACATGCCCAAGTATGTCAAACACAGATTCCTTCACCCTGTTCAATAGCAACAACGCTTTAATTAGAAGATACACTGCTTTTTCTAGCATGGTAGATTCAACTTGTGTCTTGTCGCAGCTACAAGTATGCATGTATTCAGTTCAGTAATTATTATTTATTTATATATATAACCAATTCTATTTTGCATTATTAACACTGGACCTACCGGAATTCCATAACTACTTTTCTCCTTTTAAGACGTCATATTTACATTTAAAGCTTTTATTGAAATAATTATGCTTTACATGTCTGTTGTCATATTTTATGAAGTCGTTACTTTAAAAATACAGTATTTTTGGTTATGCAGCGTATAAATGTGTACGAGTTACAAGACCACCCACAAAGTTGCGCACCTCACCTTCACTACAAGCTGGAGAGCTTGATTGTTTGTTTTTACTGCGCCACTGAATATGTTGTTTTGAAAGACATGTCTAACTTAAATTCATTTTTTGCTGTCAGAAAGTTGTGTTAGGTAACTCTAACCCTGGGAAAAGTAACAGATGCTGAAATGCATGCTGTCATTTTGACTACTATGGTAAATCAAGATAGAATTACTTGGAACTCTTATTTTAATCCAATACAATGTTATGAAGGAATATACATACATTTAGTAAAAGGTTTTATTTAAAAAACAATTATGTCAAAAAAACATCTCTGCATTTATTGTGTTTTTAAAATAGAGGGTATATGCAGAAGTATACGGAAGAGCTTTTAATTTGTTTGTAGCCTGGGTCAAGCGCTTCCGGTGAACTGTATGCCATTACAAAATCAGCGTGTTTAAGGTCTGTTTTCTTTAAAAATCAGCGATCTCCACTTCGATATCCGATATAAAGTGGGTCTTAGATTGTACAAGAAGCACTGAATTAAATAAAATTTTTCCCCACCATGTCTTTAAAATAAATTTCCATAAATAGATGGAAAAAGTTTACCGGAAGTTTATCAGAATGGGAAGAAGCACTAGCTCTGCATATACCCTATTGAGCTTATAATGCAATATTTAGGATTTTTGTCCTCAAAATATCCTCAAACAAGTTAAAATGTTTTAATGGAAATTAAAATGTTACTGTTTTGTTTCAAAATATTTGAGTTCTATATTAAGAAAATGTATTAATTTTCACCACTACTGTATTGTTCCAAAAAAGAAATAATAATAATAAAGAAAAAAAATTAAAGGTGGTAAAAACTGGTAGCTCGTAATACACTACAAAACAACAAACACTATATGTGAGATTGTACCACAAATATTACTATATTTATTACTAAATAATAATATTGCCAAAAATATAATGCTGCAAAATCATTACAAAATATTAAGATAATATCATGTTCCATGAAGATAATTTGTAAAAATTTTTACTGCAAACATAAGTAAAAAAACTAAATTTTTGATTAGTAATATGCATTGCTAAGAACCTAATTTGGATGCCCTGAAGGCTATTTTTCTCAGTACCTAGATATTTTGAACCCACAGACTCCAAGTTTTCAAATATATACAGTGCATCCAGAAAGTATTCATAGCGCTTCACTTTTTTCACATTTTGTTATGTTACAGCCTTATTCCAAACTGGATTAAATTCATTTATTTCCTCAAAATTCTGCACACAAAACCCCATAATGACAATGAGAAGTTTTTTTTTTTTAATTGTTGCAAATTTATTAAAAATAAAAAACCTGAAAAAAATCACATGTACATCAGTATCCACAGCCTTTGCGCAATACTTTGTTGATGCACTTTTGTCAGCAATTACAGCCTCAAGTATTTTTGAATATGATGTCACAAGCTTGGCACACCTGTCTTTAGGAATTTTTGGCCATTCCTCTTTGCAGTACCTCTCAAGCTTTATCAGGTTGGATGGGAAGCGACGGTGTACAGACATTTTCAAATCTTTCCAGAGATGTTCAATAGGATTCAGGTCTGGGCTGTGGCTGGGCCAATCAAGGTCATTCCCCAAGTTGTTGTAACCTTCCCCAGCCTTGTGCCTAGAGACAATTCTGTCTCTGAGGTCTACAGACAATTCCTTTGTCTTCATGCTTGGTTTGTGCTTTGTCATGCACTGTCAACCCTGGGACCTTATATAGACAGGTGTATGCCTTTTTAAATCATGTCCAATCAACTGAATTCACAACAAGTGAACTCCAATTAAGCTGCTAAAACACCTCAAGAATGATCAGTGGAAACAGAATGTACCTGAGCTCAATTTAGAGCTTCACGGCAAGGGCTGTGAATACTGATGTACATGTGATTTTTCAGGTGTTTTATTTTTAATAAATTTGCAACAATTTCAAAAAATCTTTTTTCACTTCGTCATTATGGGGTATCGAGTGTAGAACTTTGAGGAAATAAATGAATTTAATCTATTTTGGAATAAGGCTGTAACATAAAAACAATGTGGAAAAAGTGAAGCGCTGTGAATACTTTCCGGATGAACTGTATATATGTATAACATTGTAAAGCTTATTTTTTTCAACTTTCTGATAATGCACAAATCTCAATTTCTGAAAATGCACTCAAGTGTCACAAATATTAAACAGAATCCAGAGAAGAAAATGATTAAATAATATACAGAAATTGTAAAAACAACCAAAATTACACAATATAAACAACATGTTTTATAATCGAAAACCAAAATAAAATGCGTGTGAAATGTACTACTGTACACAAATGCTCAAATCTCTCTCTCATTCCTAATAATAATAATAATCATACAGTATTTCATTTAGGATGCACTTTTATTAAACTTTTTATTTAAAAAAATATAAATAATAATCAAAATAGCACAAATCCAAATGTTTGTGTGCTTTGTGCATGTTTTACTTGCTTGGTATTAATTGCATCCTAAGTCTTTTGGAAATAAAAGTTATGGATGCAGCATGTTTCAGATTATAATGACAAAAACCAAAAGAGTGGCATGTTCTGAAATGAAAGGCATAATATAACTTCTTCTGCTGAGATTTAGCAGTGCAGGAAACACTGCTGCGCTTTTTAGCGTCACCGCCCACACTATGATTTCTCATTGTGCGTGTATGTGTGTGTCACAGGGGCTCAGTGTGTAACGTGTTGCTGACGTCCTGCGCGGATGGCATCTGTCGTCTGTGGAGTGAGACCCTCTTGCCGGAGGACAGTCTGTTGGGGGGGCAGATCTCAGAGAACAGCACCAGCTTCAGCTCCTCTCTGCCAAACATGGCTCAGAAAGACAAGATACAGCACGCTCTGGAGGTCAGCATGCAGAAACACACATGAAAATAAAACACTCACACAAACCTGAATTAAAGGGATAGTTCACCAAAAAAAAAAAATGTTTAGTTGTCTTTTTTTTAGTTCGTTCACTTGTTTCAAACCTTTATGAGTTTCTTTCTTCTTCTGAACAAAAAAGAAGATTCAATAAGAGTATTATTTATTGAGTTCCATAGTATTTGTTTTTTCCTTCTATGAAAGTCAATGGTTACAGGTTTTCAGCTTTTCTTCTTTTGTATTTTTCAGAAGTAAAAATGTAATAAAGGTTTGTAACCACTTGAAGATGAGTAAATAGTGAGTAAACGTTAATTTTTAGGTGAACTATCCCTTTAACCCTCTGGGGTCTGAGGGTGTTTTGGGGCTCTGGAGAAGTTTTGACATGCACTGACATTTGTGTTGTTTTCAGTATCTTAAAAACATATTAATGGCTAAATGGTGATAACACTGTAAACAGCACAAGTTGGGCTACAATAATACCTAAACAGAATGTTTGTATGTGTTTGTGTTTTTGAGAAAGAAACATTTATGCTTGGTTAGTGAAAAACAAAAATTTTGAAGTCACTGAAACAAGGCTGTGACACACACAGAGAACATTTGTGCACAAGACTTTTGAAAACTGGGTCTTATAGCCTAGTGTTTTTGCTTTAAAATGATATGAGAATCATCTTGTTCACTTGCTCACAGAAAACAATATAATGAATGAAAATTTCTAAGTCACTTTTTGAGCGAAAATGGTTTATGCGAGAAGGCATGAACTATCATTACTATGCAGTGAGTCACACCTGAAGACAAAGACCTGCATAATGAGCTGAATAATGAGCCTTCAAACAGGTGTGTGACTAAAAGGGAAGAGTTTCAAGAAGGAATCAGAGAAAAGTTTATATACTTTTTTGTTTGCAGTTTATTTAAAATATATTATTTACACGGTGCGCCCTCTCATTCACCCTGCGCAATAAAGTGCCCAAATATCTGAAATGACGACAGATAGATTTGATAGATTTAATGTAAGTAGAGCAATATAAACATTGCAAACATTGTAAGCTAAGCTTGGTAGATTCAAATATTGTTGTGTAAAAACATTGTGAAACATCAATATCTGTGCAGTTTCCATTACTATAAAAATAGGTATTATGAATTAATATAAATAAGGTATTGTTTTATATATTATATTTATCTTTTAAAAAATTGCTTAATTGGTAAATAAAATGGGGCGAAGCAGTGGCGCAGTAGGTAGTGCTGTCGCCTCACAGCAAAAAGGTCGCTGGGTCGCTGGTTCGAGCCTCGGCTCAGTTGGCGTTTCTGTGTGGAGTTTGCATGTTCTCCCTGTGGGTTTCCTCCGGGTCCTCCGGCTTCCCCCACAGTCCAAAGACATACGGAACAGGTGAATTGGGTGGGCTAAATTGTCCGTAGTGTATGTGTGTGTGTGTGTGTGTGTGTGTGTGTGTGTGTGTGTGTGTGGATGTTTCCCAGAGATGGGTTGCGGCTGGAAGGGCATCCGCTGCGTAAAAACTTGCTGGATAAGTTGGCGGTTCATTCCGCTGTGGCAACCCCAGATTAATAAAGGGACTAAGCCGACAAGAAAATGAACGAATGAGTGAATGAATGAATGAATGAATGAATGGTAAATAAAACAGAAGGTAGGCCTACTGGGCAAAAAAGGATGCCTCTCAGACACTTTTAGAAGCTGTCATTCATTCATTTCTTACCATATTTAAGGTCTTGGTCTCTTGTTTATCCTTTTAGCATCCAAGTGGGATAAAGGATCGACATTTTAACTCTGTCTTTCGTGAAATACAGTTGCAGTTTATGTAAAGTAAATCGGACTCATTCAAACAAACATTATGATTGCATGATACACTTCTGACTGCACATTGTGTTTTCTTTTTCTTATAATGCACAGAGTTTTAAGGTTAGAGACGTTTTCATTTGCCATTGACAGTTGGACAGTCTCATCCAATTCATCAAACTCTGTCTTTTAAAATCGGAAAGAGAATAAAACGATCTCCTCATAAAAGCCGGCATATTAGGCCGCCGCTACATTGAAAACATATGATTCGATTCGCACTTTTTATTGGTTTTCAGGATATAGCAGCTTTTGCTGTCAAAGGCGAGTGGCGTTTAGCGGCTTTTGCCAACAAACTGATATTTCTGAAAGCACTGACTCTGCGATTTAAATGATTTAAACCTAAACTGTTTGTTGATGGTATAGTAAGTGCCTAAAGCATTCACTTAATGTCAAGTGGTGTTTAGCGACTTATGCTTCTAAACTCTTGATATGTACATAAAATTCACGTTGGTCTGCTGTGTTTGAATTATGTGATTTGGTGAAAACTGTCTTTCTCCACGCAGTCTATCCACCACCTGAAGCACCTGCGCAGGGGCCGCAGAAGATCATCTGCTCTGGTGGCCCACACAGAGGTGCTGCCCAGTCAGCTGGGATCCCACGAAACCCACCGGCACATCTCACACCATGCCAACGCCCTCTGCCACTTCCACATTTCAGCCAGCATCAATCCCAACACAGGTGAAAATATGATTTAAAAAATGATCTATGGAAAATCTAAAACAGTTATATATATATATATAAATATACAGTTAAAATCAGAAGTATTAGCCCCCCTGAATTATTAGCTCCCCTATTTATTTTTTTCCCCGTTTTCTGTTTAACGGAGAGATTTTTTCAACACATTTCTAAACATAATAGTTTTAATAACTCATTTCTAATAACTGATTTATTTTATCTTTGCCAAAATGACAGTAAATAATATTTGACTACATATTTTTCAAGACACTTCTATACAGCTTAAAGTGACATTTATAGGCTAACTAGGAAGGTTAGGGTAATTAGGCAAGTTATTGTATAATGATGGTTTGTTCTATAGACTATCTAAAAAATATATAGCTTAAAGGGGCTAATAATTTTGTCCTTAAATTGGTGTTTAAAAAAATTAAAAACTGCTTTTATTCTAGCCGAAATAAAACAAATAAGACTTTCTCCAGAAGAAAAATATAGAATCAGATATACTGTGAAATATCCTTGCACTGTTAAACATAATTTGGGAAATATTTAAAAAAGAACAAAAAAAAATCATATATATATATACATACACACACACACATACAGTTGAGGTCAGAATTATTAGCCTGCCCCCCTTTGAATTTTTTTTCTTTTTTTTTATATTTCCAAAATGATGTTTACCAGAGCAACGAAATTTTCACAGTATGTCTGTTGATATTTTGTCTTATGGAGAAAGTCTTATTTGTTTTATTTCAGCTAGAATAAAAGCAGTTTTACACTTTTAAAAAGCCATTTCAAGGACAAAATTATTAGCCCCTTTAAGCATTTTTTTTCGATAGTCTACAGAACAAAACATCATTATACAATAACTTGCCTAATTACCATAACCTGAACAGTTAACCTAGTTAAGTCTTTAATTGTCACTTTAAGCTGTATAGAAGTGTCTTGAAAAATATCTAGTCAAATATTATTTACTGTCATCATGGCAAAGATAAAATAAATCAATGTGTTGAACAAACATTCCTACTGGGGGGGTGGGAGAAATTAACCGGGGGTGGGGGGGGGGGTTGTTGGTTATGTGGTTATGTCTGATTCCTGACGAATGTAAAATAAAACGGCAAAACAAGAATATCTTTATGACCTGTATCTCTGATTTTTTTTTTCCAGGATTTCCTGATTCACAAATATATCACATTTTTTGTTGGTTTAACTGTATTGCAAGTTATCTGAGCAGCACAGCCAAGCTAATTTCTTAATTTTAAAAACATGTTAAAGGCATTTTAATTATCCACAATCAAAATCCTCACATCGCACACCCCTCACTTATACCTTTAAAGTCAGAATTATTAGCCCCCGTATATATTTTCCTTAATTTCTGTTTGATGAAAATATTTTTTAACACATTTCTAAGCATAATAGTTTTAATAACTGATTTCCAATGACATGTTTATTTTATCTTTGCCTTGATGACAGTAAATAATATTTTACTAGATTTTTCAAGATACTAGTATTCAGATTGAAGTTTAATTTAAAGGCTTAACAGGGTTAATTAGGTTAAAGTTAGGATAATTTGGCAAGTCATTGTGTAACGATGGTTTTGTTCTGTAGACTATCGGAAAAAAAAATTGCTTAAGAGGGCTAATAATATTGACTTTAAAATGGTTTAAAAAATTTAAACTGCTTTTATTCTAGCCGAAATAAAACAAATAAAACTTTCTCCAAAAGAAAAGAAATATATAGGAAATACTGTGAAACAATCCTTGCTCTGTTAAAATAATTTGGGGAATATATAAAAAAGGAATAAGCAATTCACAGGAGTGCTAATAATTTTGTCTTCAACTGTCCTGTATGCATTTGCAAATAGACACACAAACGAACAGAAGTGTGATCTTTCTCTCTGCCATCAGATATCCCTGCAGCGCTGGCTGGATCAGGCCTGTTCTCTGAGGATGCCAGCGGAGGGTTTGTGGTTCACTGGCTGAATAATAAAGATCTGAGCTTTACCACTTCCATGGATCTGTTCATGCAACAGCTGCGCAAACTCTCTGAGCAGCACCTGGAACAAGCCACTGAGGACTTTGAACAGGAAGGAACGGCCAAATTTGACTTTGGTACTGCCTTAAAATAAACAAAAAATAGTGTACAGATTTGAAATGAAGTTACGGCATATCGTCCTAGCCATATCAGCCTAGAAAATAGGAACTTATGTCAATCTTAGTGCATGATGTAAAGAGTCAAAATAAATATGGATGTTTTAACTATGGTTATTTTTGAGCAAGATGCTAATGGTCTAATCTGATTCAATGATCTATGCTAAGCTAAGCTAAATCCAGAGATCAGCTGAATAGATTAAAAAATGGAAAAACCTAACTGTTTAACTCCTGGGGAGTTGTAAAATGAGCCTACTAACAGGCATGAGCTAAATTCATAGAGGTTTTTAACAGTATTTAAATTACTCACTGCTACACAATTCATGATATGTTTTGTTGTTGTTGTTGTTGTTGTTTTTAGATCTGGATGAGATGTCTGATAAGGGATCATCAGAGCATGAGGAGGGCGATCAGGAGGGCAGCACCAAGGCCTCTTCTCCTGGTTCGAGCAGCAGCGTTCCTCTGCCCTCTGTTCTGCTGGATCGGAAGCTTGAGACACTCATACTGGAATGGAACAAGAGTCCGGATATGCTTTTCACTATTCACCCACACGACGGGTCTTTCCTTGTCTGGCACGTCAAGTACCTGGATGAGTTCATACCTGGAATCTTCAGACAGGTTCAGGTAAGGCTGGGTTACAAAGTGTAAAAAATGGGGTTCGATTTTGCTGTGTGAGAGAGGTTTGTATGTGTTAGCCATGGTACGGCAGCAAAGTTTCTTGATTATTACGCCGGAATGAGAGCATAGTTTTGAGACATATCTGCCTACAAAATAGCAACCTTCTCAATTTAGTATTTAATGTAACTACAGAAGGGTCAAGCTGTAAATAGGAAAATGAACAAGACTCATTGATCATTTTTGATGCTAATAGTCTAATCTGATTCAATTGTCTATGCTAGGCTAAGCTAAAAATAATCCAACCAGACACAGAAATCGGCTTAATAGATTCATGGATAATTTTAAATCCAGGAGAGATGTAAAATTATCCTATGTAAAATTATTATTTTTCCTCAAAAAGTGGAGTGTTCCATTATGAACCAATTAAAACACTATTATACATAAAATAAAAAATAAACAAACTATTCAAATATGTCTTTTATTTGATAGTCACATAGTCATTTAAGAATCATGATTTTGACATCGCAACAATGGGCTCATTAAGATGCGGCCTCCCGTATTTGACAAAACATGAGTTGTAATTAATTTAGGTCAAGTATTAATAAGAGCCTCTAAAAAATGTTTTCAGGGTATCAACAAGACATCATTTTTTATTCTGCTTTCATTTAATTTGATACAATTTTAGGTTAAATTAGATTTTTACTTTGACAGCCCTGATATAGATTGTAGTATAATCCAGGCCGCTGACACCAGATAAGATATATCAAGTTGTTCAAAATAAATGAACCTGCCAGTATTGGCCAACATTAGCACTGTCAAGATGAACTTAAACGACAGACTATGGTCAGTGTTGTAATTTGTTGATGGATTACAAATAAATTCCATGTTAATAAATGAATTTTATATTGATAATAATATGTTAATAATTCTATGTTAATAACAAATACATAAATAAAATCAAATAACCTAAATAAATTCCATATTCTTAAAATAGAATAACAAATAAACAAATAAATTCCATGTTAATAACAAATATATTATATGTTAATAAATTAATTTGTTGTTAATGATAATTTGTTAATAACTACATGTTAATAACAAATAAATTCTGTGTTTATAACAAATAAATGAATAAAATACATTGAATAAAAAATTAATTAAAAAACTAAATAAATTCTAAAATATATAATAAATAAACAAATAAATTCCATATTAAAAAAAATATTTTAATAAATGAATTTATTGTTAATAATAATTAAATTTCATGTTAATAACAAATAAATTCCATGTGTAATAACAAATAAATTAATTAAACTAAAATTAAATTAAATATATTAAATTCATTTCAATTTCTAAAATATATAATAACAAATAAACTCTGTTAATAACAAATAAATACCATGCATTTCTTGTTAATAATAATTTGTTAATAAGTCCATGTTAATAACAAATAATTAAATTAAACAAATAAAATTAAAAAATTAATTAAATAAATTCCAAATTCTAAAATAAATATAACAAATAAACAAAAATTCCATGTTAATAACAAATAAATTCCATGTTAATAACAAATAAAGTAAATGAATTAAATAAAAACTTAATTAAAGAAACTAAATAAATTCCAAATTCAAAATATATAATAACAAATAAACAAATAAATTCCATGTTGATAACAAATAAATTACATATTAGTAAATGCATTTCTTGTTAATAATAATTTGTATATTTCATGTTACTAATAAAACAAAAGGTAATTAAAATAATATTTAATAAATTCCAAATTCTAAAAAAAAACAAATAAACAAATAAATTTCATGTTAATAATAAATAAACTCCATGTTAATCAATGAAATTCTTGTTAATAATAATTTGTTAATAATTCCATGTTAATAACAAATAAATACATTAAATAAATAAAATCTAAATTAAATTAAATTAATTACAAGTTCTAAAATAAATACTAACAAATTAACAAATTAATTCCATTTAAAAGCAATAAATTCAATGTTAACAAAAACAAATAATTTACACGTTGTTGTTAGAATTTTAAGGTCAAGAGTGGTTGTGTAAGCAACCAAAGGTATTTTTAAATATCGCTCACCCTATACTCTCTTTTCGTTGGTGATGACTATTAAAAACCTCATTTTGATGGACCATTTTTTGTTACTCGATTCAATTCAACACACAAACTGAATAAAACCTGTTTGTTTTCTCCTTCAGGTATCATTCTCGTCTCGTATCCCTGTCGCATTCCCCACGGGTGATGCAAACTCTCTCAGTAAGAACATCATGATGTACGCCTGTACGTTTATGGACCAGGACAGCTGCAGTGCTCTGGAGGAGAAGCGCAGCGAGCGTCGAGTTCCTCAGAGCGCATCAGCTTCTGCTGGTCTCAGCTCTCTCGGACACTCTCTCGCTGCTGTCATTGGCCCTGCTGTCATGATGGTGTCTAAACACGTAGACGGCTCCCTCAACCAATGGGCTGTGACCTTTGCTGAGAAGTCTGCCTTTTCCAATGTCCTCACGGTTTCGCACAAGTTCCGCTACTGCGGGCACCGTTTCCATCTCAATGACTTGGCTTGTCACACTGTACTTCCCTTACTTCTGACATCATCGCATCACAATGCACTGTTGACTCCGCCCTCTGGATCCGGAAGCATTGATGGAGATCTGATTGGGGGCGTGGCTCAACAGCCCACCAGGCCAATGAGAGGCATTCCTCGTAAACAGCTACGAAATGCAGCTACGCGTACTTTCCATGACCCAAATGCGATCTACAGTGAGCTGATTCTCTGGAGAGTGGATCACATTGGGCCACTGTCCTGCACAGGAGGGGTGTCCGAACTAGCAAGAATCAACTCTCTCCACACATCTGCATTCTCCAATGTGGCTTGGCTGCCTACACTCATCCCCAGCTCAGTGCTCGGTGAGTTTAATACCATTGCTGTTTCCATACCAACCTTAAAGAAACACTCATATTAAACTCACACTTTTTTTAGTTTAGCTTAGCATAAATAATTCAATCAGGCACAATGATATTACGCAGTCCCTGAAAATAGTCCCCAGTTAGCTAGCGAAGAGCTATGCAGGTAAACCTAACTCCTCTGACCTCTTAAGGTGATCTAGCAACAGACGCTAGAGGCCATGGTCTTTAGCCTCCTTGATAGAGCAACCGACTCCCATACATAGAATCAATGGTTCGATCTTAGCTCAGACTGGTTTGGTGCACTAGGACTGATGGGTTACACATGGGGGCTTGTCCGGGATGGGAGTGAGATTTAGGGGGTTGCGTGTAAAGAAGACCAGATAGTAAAGTGTAGTAAGACCGATTGGTTACATTTAGGGGCTCGGAGTAAAGTTTAGGGGGTTGAGTGTAACGAAGACTAGCTAGTGAAGTGCTGTGCAGGCAAACCTCATGCCTCTGACCTCTAAAGGTGTTCTAGCAACAGACACTAGAGGCCAAGTTCTTTAGCCTCCTTGATAGAGCAACCAACTCCCAAACAAAGAATTACCAGTTTGATCCCAGCTCAGACTGGTTTGGTGCACTATGACTGATGGGTTACATGTGGGGGCTTGTCCGGGACGGGAGTGAGATTTAGGGGGTTGAACGTAAAGAAGACCAGACAGTAAAGTGCTATGCAGGCAAACTTCACTCCTCTGACCTCTAAAGGTGCTGTAGCAACAGACACTAGAGGCCATGGTCTTTAGCCTCCTTAAAAGATCAACCGACTCCCATGCAAAGAATCGCCGGTTCGATCCCAGCTCAGGTTGGGTGCAGTTAGACCGATGGGTTACATGTGGGGGCTCGTGCGGGATGGGAGTGAGGATTAGCAGATTGAGTGTAATGAAGACCAGCTAGCGAAGGGCTATGCAGGCACACCTCATTCCTCTGACCTCTAAAGGTGATCTAGCAACAGACACTAGAGGCCATGGTCTTTAGCCTTCTTGATAGAGCAACCGACTCCCATACAAAGAATTGCTGGTTCGATCCCAGCACAGACTGGGTTGGGTGTAGTAGGACCGGTGGGTTACATGTACATCAGTTCTGCATTGTGCCTGATGCAGGATTGTTACTGCATATTGTCCAAGCTATATCAGCCTAGTAAATAGCAACGTCTCTTTTTAACTCGGCCTTAGTACACAATTTAACGATTCAAGCTTTAAATAGGAAAATCCGAATTCTTTGGTTATTTTTGAGCAAGATGGTCTAATCTGATTAAATGATCTATGCTAAGCTAAGATAAATGTGCTCCCACCAGATTTAGAGATCAGCTGAATGGATTAAAAAATGGAAAACTATTTAACTCTAGGCAAGTTGTAAAGTGAGATTATTTTCAAATATAGTGGAGTGCTTCTGTAATCAGCGGTTTCCAAACTCAGTCCTGGAGGACCGGTGTCCTGCAAAGTTTAGCTCCAACTCCAATTAGACACACCTGGACCAGCTAATCAAGCTCGTAGTAGGTAAACTAGAAACTTTCTGGCAGGTTGAAGTTGAAGCTCAACTCTGCAGGCCCTCCAGGATCAAGTTTGGACATAACTGCTGGAAAGTAAAGCTAGGTATACACTACGCTTGTTATCGATTAACATAAGCTGCGTCCCAAATGGCATACTTATGCACTATTCTACGCCATTTTGTAGTATAAATAGTGAAAGTAGTGTGTTCACACTGAAAACTCTAAAAATATTAAGTGCACTTTAATTACCCGGATAATGCACTCATTCAGCCGCTAAAATGAAGTGTGTAATGATGGACACTTCACGCACTCAACGACCACAGGTTTGCTTACGTAGCGAAAGGGGCGGAGCTATCGGACGCACATGTTGAGTAACTTTATTTATTTTGGATGGTGAAAGCAAAATTCTCCTACTAGAGTGATTATAGCGCCTCCCGATGGTGAACGTGGCAATACTCACGGCAGGTATTATTTGATAATTTGGTTGTTTATTTCACTGATTTGGCAACCGTCAAACGTCATCAGGGAAACGGTTTGAATTTCCGCTTAGTAAAAAAACATTAGTGTGCCATTTGGGACGATACTACATACATATACTATCCTGTTGAGTGTGTAAGTGCATAAGTACATAGTGCATGAGTGCATAGTGTATAGTGTGCCATTTGGGACGCAGCTACAGTAATAATAAAATAAAAAAAAACACCTAAAACCACTGCAGTACTTATAAACAACTAAGCAACTACCCAGAACACCCAAGAAACTTTGCCTGAACACCAAAGCAGCATCCAGCAGTGTTCCATTTTCTGAACCCCCTACCAACATCCCAGATAATACTTCCAGATTGTTATCCAAAATACTAATCGTAATGGGTACAAATTGAATTAGCCCCACACATGAACTACTAACTATCATATCAAACTGGTTTGCAATGCCATTTCATCCTCTCACAACAACTTAGAAACTGCCCAGCAATGCCCTAGCAGCTGCTTAGAACACTTTATAAACTCTTTAGGGACACTCTAATAATTAAGTGACCAGTTATTTCAAAGGTCGGACACTGAACACAGTGGCAACACCCGAGAAATCATCTGTACAACACAACATGTTAACTGCCTAGCGACGTTCTAGCTGCCTACCCACCAAAATCATGTCATCATCTAGCAAGAACATCTCAGATCTCAGTAACCTAGCAACAGCGCATCCCACCACCCAGAGCACCCTAGAAACTGCAAAGTTAGTACACTGAACACTTTACCACTGCCTAGCAACACACTTAAAACAACTCAAGAATGCTACATGTGTGCCACCCCTGGCAACTCCCTCCCGCATTGTGGAGAATTCAGCTTTCACTTATGTTTTTACCAGTAAGTGGACAGATGTTATGTAATGCTATTTATTAAGTTATTATTTTGTTGGGCTTAATAAAAGTGTTTGTGTTTGTGTTAGGAACATACTGTAACTCAGCAAGTGCATGCTTCGTGGCTTCTGATGGGAAAAACCTCCGCCTGTATCAGGCGGTGGTGGATGCCCGCAAACTACTGGATGAACTCTCCGACCCAGAGACCTCAGTAAGAGCCTTTTAGTCTAGATTGGATTAAAGTAATGTCATTATTTGCCAATAAACTGAAGATAAATGTCATCAGAGTTTATCTGATTGTTTATCTCTGATGGTTGGTTGTGCGTTTAGAAACTGGTGGGTGAGGTGTTCAACATTGTGAGTCAGCAGTCCACTGCCCGACCCGGCTGCATCATAGAGCTGGATGTCATTACTAACCAGGTGAGGTGTTCATCATTTTGTAAGTTTGGTTCAGCACATTTCTGTTTAAGAATGTTGTTGTATGCAATCAGTTACTTCAAAAAAAGTCATTACATACATCATTACTATTGTATTTAAAGTCTAAAAAGTCACTTAGCTACTTAAGTAATTTAATTACTAGACTTAGTACAAGATATACATATAAATCTCAATGCATAGATAATAGAAAATAACCTTTTTTTTCTTTTTAATTTGGTCAAACTGGATTTTTTCAGTTTCTTTTTAAAAAAAAAGTTGTTGTGTGGAATCTTTAAAAAGTAATTAATTATGACTAATTACATCATTACAATTGAATTTAAAGTCTAAAAAGTAACATAGTTACTCAGTAATTTAATTACTTAGAACAAAAAAATACACAAATCTTAATAAATAGACAATAGAATTTATTTCTAAATAAATCAAATTGGATTTTTTTCCATTTCTGTTAAAAATGTTGTTGCATGAAATCAGTTACTTCTAATAAGTAATTAATTACCACTAATTACATCATTTCAATTTTATGTAAAGTCTGAAAAGTTACTTAGTTACTCATAAGTAGACCCACACGGAATCTGTGCATGCAGAATTCCGCAGATTTTTTGCAAAATTACGCAGATTTTTAGCCCGTCATTAATTCTGTTTATTTACTTGAGTAAATGTGTATAAATCTATATTTATTCAGTTTTTAAATTAATTACAGTAATATTATTGACTAATATGAAGATGTTCATCTGATTTATTAATTACTAATTACTAATTCTTATTAATTAATTATTTTCTGTCTTTTAGTAGAAATGTTATTTGAGAGACTTGCTTTGTTTACCAAATAAAGTGAATCTAATTGAATTTGCATTTTAAACATTAAATAAAATTAAAAAGATATTATTTTTGATTTAATATATTACAGTTTTAGTTTTGACACTCCAAAATCATTCCGCAGAAATCCGCAGATTATTGCAAAATTCTCAGCAGAAATAGCAAAAAGCGTCCGCAGATTCCGTCTGACCCTGCTCATTAGGTAATTTAATTACTGAACTGTACAAAGAATACACACGTCAAACATTATTTTCTTTGTCCATTTCAATTCAAAAATGTTGTGGTGTGCAATCAGTTACTTCAAAAAGTAATTAATTACATCATTGCAATTGTATTTAAACTCTGAAAAGTAGTTACTCATTAAGTAATTTAATTACAGGACTTGGTAAAAAATACACACGAATATCAATGCATAGACGATAGAAATTCAAAACAGTTTTTTTACTTCAAAAAAGTAAATGAAACCACTAAGATAAACTTTTTTTTTTATTAAAGTGAAACAGATTTTTTTGTTTTGTTAAAAAACACTTTGTATGATACTGCTGATACTGCTTCTTCAACAGACATTTAACTGACTATAAAAAGCTTTCCAAGTACATGTCAACTTACACTAACCCTAACCCCAACCTAACCCAACCTAACTGTCTACTTATAATCTAATGAGAATTAGTTGGCATGTAGATGTACTTAAATGTAACTTAATTTCAACAAACTGACCATCAAAATAAAGTGACCAAAGTTCATTTTTATGTACATTTATCAAAATACAGAACATTTCAAATAAATGTTTCATATTCATTTTTCCATTTTTCACACCATAAAATGACATACTTTTAGAAAACATTTAATTTATATCTTTTTAAATAATTTTAACTAATGAATTTTTTTCTTAAGCACAGAAAAATTATATATATATATATATATATATATATATATATATATATATATATATATTACTCTGCTTCTCTGAATTTATTGATTTATTTAGAACTGTGGAATATTTGTACAGTATTTACTGTTTACCTAAATATTTAAAGATTAAAGATTACCTAAACATTTAAAGTAATCCCTCATATTTTGAGCAGAAAATTTATTTAATTACAGTAACTAATCACACTCAACAATGTGTGCAGTATTATAATGTTCTGTTTGTGTTGCTCAGTGCGGCTCGAACACACAGCTGCTCCACGTATTCCAGGAGGATTTTATTTTGGGATACAAACCACACGAAGACATTCCAGATTTCAACATTAATAGTTTTCCCTCTGGAGAAGGTACAAAAAAAAGCTTTTCGTTCCCTTTGATATCCATTCCACACATTTTTTTTAGAACATTATATCTGGGTTGTCTTTGTTGTAGATTACCAGCCACCACCGTTCTCAGAGAAGTTCTATTTGGTGGTGATCGAGAAGGATGCTAATAGGAACTCAGTGTTACAGATGTGGCATCTTCATCTGCGCTCGGTGCAGGCGTGTGTGGGTGCGTATGAAGTGGGTTATTTGTGAAATGATGACACATCTGTCAGCGGATAGCATCTGAGAGGAAACTGTGAAGGGAGTCTCATGAATGGAAAGCTGATGCTGCCTCTAATGACTAATTTCCTTTTCAGAGATGGAAATAATTTACCAGGAAATGATTTCTTCATTTATCCATTGGGCATCAGAGCATATGAGCGAAGCAGCGTGTTGTGCCGTTCAGCTCTGTGCCACTGCGCTCCGCTCAATCGCTCATAGCCCAAGCCAATTCTCACACTCATGTCAAATTATTTTCTTTGTTATATCTCATTATCTCCGTAATAGCGTTTTACAATACATCTAAATTAAAGATAAAACCTCTAACTTTAAAGGGATAGTTCACCCATAAAATGAAAATTGACTCACCCTCAAGTGACTTCAAAAGCAAAAAAAGATATTTTGAAAAATGTTAAACCTGTAACTATTGACTTCCATAAAAAAACAAATAAAATGCAGGTTTCCAAGACTTTTCAAAATATCTTTATATATATTTAGGGGTTTTCAGCCTTATAATAATATAGGACAGTGGAGGTTTCAGACAGGAAAGCATTGGGAGCAGAGAGAGGGGAATGATCACCAACAGATCTCGAGCCGGCCGAGATTTCTTATTTTACAGCTCTTTGACACCGCTCCTTTTTATGGTGCATTCACACCAGATGCAAATGAAGCATCAAGCACAAGTGATTTACATGTTAAGTCAATGCAAAGATGCGAATAGACATCGTTCGGCACGATTCACGTAAATGAGGCGGTGCAAATGACGCGATTTGCGTGATTGAAGTGGTGCGAATTGAGCGGTGTGCGCATTTGATTAAGGTGTAAGATCTGAACTTTAGTGGACATTTACGGCGCATTAACCAATCAGGAACTTGCTCTAGTATGGGTGTGATTATAATGTAGTGACTGTTGTTGGTGTCTTGAGGGGAAATCCTTCTGTCTACATGGGACAATAGCCGGGGGCGCCGCTAGGGTGGGAGGAAATGAGGCCTACGCCGTATTAGAGCCTGCAGAAATACTATTAGGAGCCCACCAGAACCCCCCACTTCATTTTTGTCCACGGCACCACCCCCTGCCATGCCGCCCCTCCCCGCTTTTCACTTTCCTCCGCCCCAACACTCCGGCGCACTCTTCACTTTAGCACTTGACTCAAGGTTCCCAAGACTTAAAAATATCGTATTTTACAGCTCTTTGAAACTTCCCCTAAGATGCGAATAGACATCCTGCTTCAATATTCGCACAAATGAGGTGGTCCAAATGATGCAGTTTTCACAAATAAAGCGGCTGGACTTTTGCGGAAATTTGCTCCACGTTAACCAATCAGGAGCTTGCTCTAGTTTGACCATGTTGTAGCACCTGTTGTTGGTGTCTCGAGGGGAAATCCTCCTGCCTACATGGGACAACAGCCAGGGGCACCACTAGGGGGGATAAAGTTTGACTTACTCCGTTTTAGGGCCACCAGAGATACTATAAGGGGCCCACCAGAACCCCTGACTTCATTTTCATCCGCGACCCAAACCCCCCCCCCCCCCCCCCCCCCTTTTTTTTTTTTTTTTTTTTGCCTTTTATCTTTTGAAAATGCTTTCAAACTGGGCTTGGCTCAGTCGGAAGTACTACGGAAAGCTTCAATCATGCAGGTATAGATTATGGGGGAGTTGATGAACTCTGAAAGGGTCTAGTGGCTCGGCGCTGAATGAATCTATGCTGTTTTTCAGCTTTCCTAAAGCATATGAAGCACAGGTTTTTAAATAAAATCCATGTTAGCAATAAAGCTAAAGTCACTGGGCAGACAAATGCCCCATCCATGATGTGAATCCTCATCTATTGCCAAGGGAATTTGACAGGCAAATTAAGCGAATTTGACGCGCAAATGAATTGAGTAAACTAAATGTTCATGCGTCTATTTATGCACGAATAGCGAGATTTATTCGCGCATGCTGCATCTAGTGTCCTCCAAGCACTCTTTTCAAAAGAGGGTGGAGCTACAAATGCCAATGTGTCAGCATAGGGGCAGACAGGCGGGGCTTCCCCCTCTAATGGTCTGTACAAAGGGAGAATGTTAATCAAAATGTTTCTGCAGACATTTTTATGAAGTGTGATTATAAAAAAGTTAATCAATATATATATATATGTTGCCACATAATGCTGTTTAACGTGAAATTTGCATAATAGGTCCTCTTTAATGCAATGTTAATTTACTCACAAAAAGCAAGTCAATGACTACTGATAGGTATGGCAGTCAAAAATAAAATTTAAGGCAGAACAAATTTACTGGTAATTGTTGACCTCTGCTTGCATGCTCTGTTTAGCATCAGTAAATTACTGTGTATTATACTATGTCAGTATGTTTGTAAATTAGAATATCTGTGCTATTAGTTATCTCTTTCTTTCTCTGGATCTGAGGTATAACTAGTATATCATGCATGTTAGTGATTAGTGTCATTATTGATAACTGTTACATTTTGCTGATTCCTACAGAAGAACCCGTAAATGACTACATGTTCCAGAACCAGCTGACGGTTCCTTTGAGTCAGACCAATGCTGACTCATCTCCTGATATCACTCCGGGTCACAGTCCACTGCCACGCTCCTCCTCCTCCGCCAACTTGCAGTCAGCGAGCAAACTCATCCTGAGCTCTAAACTGGTCTACAGTCAGCGACTAGACCTGCCTCCAGGGGTGGAGCTTATCAGAGCCACACCATCAGCTGGTATGATCATAAATATATACATGAGCAGCGAGCGATGGGAAGTTAATCATTTTACTGACTCGGACTTTTGAGTTTCGTTCATTGAGATGAACGAATAATTTTGTTCAATTTGACAAAATAATATTAAAATGTTATGAGTTCCTTCCAAACTAATCTGCAACTAGCCTAAACATTGATCAAACTACAAACAAGTCATAACTAGGATGCTATAAAAAAAGAGAGAATAATCATGTATTATTTACCTGGTCTTTTGTCTATGATTATGTCAGCTCACCTCTTTTGACAGGTTTTCAAATTTGAGTGGTTTATTCGTCACACTGACAGACCCCTATAAGCTTAACCAATGCACACAGTCTGAGCCTAAAGGAGCCATGATTAGTTCATCTTTCAAATCTTCTGGTTTTTGAGTCGTTCGTTCATCACGTGACAGCATGTAAAGAGAGATGACTGAAACCCGAGGACTCGAAAGATGTACAGATTAAATCTTTTTCTGGCTCTGAATGCATATGATTGGCTTCTGTCTTTCACGTGATGAACGAACGACTCAAACTCGATAGAAGACTCGGAAGAGAAACAAATTTTCTACTCCACCTGCACAAATGTTCACGTGCGCAAACGAACGAATCACTCCCTGAGAGAACTCATCGTTCTCGAGTCAAAATGAACGAATCGTTCAAGAATGACCCATCACTACAAGCAACAAACTATGAACTTGGCATATTTTAGGACAATAAAATAATATCTCTCATACTGTAGGCTAAATGTTTCATATATCGTCCAGCTCTAATAAAAAAGTATATTACTACATGCCATAGGACAAGATTCCAGCAACAAGCAATTTGGCTGTCTGCACCAGACGTGGCATGACAGAAACATTTGAATACTAAATCCATTCAGAGGTGCAGAATAGTGGACTGCACTCCCAACCAAATGTTTAGGTTTATTACAGGAGTGTCCAAACTTGGTCCTGGAGGGTCGGTATCCTGCAAAGTTTAGTTCCAACCTCAATCAGACACACCTGGGCTAGTTAATCAAGCTTTTACTAAGGTTCCTAGAAACATCCATCCAGGTGTTTTGAAGAAAGTTGGAGCTAAAATCTGCAGGACACCAGCCCTACTGGACCAAATTTGGGCACCCCTGCTCTATAATCGAATTTATTCATGTTAAACCTCTTTAACATTATTAAACGTACATGCTGAGTGATTGATGTTGTTGGTTTGCACCGAGTCAAAGTTCTTACATTCATTTTCAAACTGTATTTGCTAGTTTCTGAGGTAAAACTATCTGCTTTCGGCTTCAGTTAAGCAATAAATGTCATGTAAAACAGCATTCAAACTCACAAATTATTTTAACACTGAATAAACAAACAACCAACATCTGAGATGGTTATTGTCATAGTCATTGATGCTGTTCATTAACAGCTACGTCACAGCAATAAAAAAAAAAAAAACATTTAGAAAAAATAGAAACAAAAACGTATTTTAACCTGGAAAAGATACCTTTTATCATGTTGCTTTGTTGCATGTCATGTAGTTAGTACACAGGGTTAGTGGGATTCAGTTTGAGTTTGACAGTATTGTGCTCTGTTGTTCAGCATCGTGTGGCTAACAAAATATCCTGTGCTCTTTTCAAGGTCACTTGAGCTCTTCATCTATCTATCCTGTGTGTTTGGCTCCATACCTGATTGTGACCACCTGTTCTGATGGACGTGTCAGGTTCTGGCACTGCAGGGTGGACATGGACTTATCAGCTCCACAACCCGAAGAGACACATTCATATCGGTGGGAGCACTGGAGCCTCCTGAAAGAAGAAGAGGACAATGACAGCTCAGTGTGTGTTGCGGGCCGACCTGTTGCAGTCAGTTGCTCCTACACAGGAAGACTTGCAATATCATTCAAACAGATATCACCCGCAAGCGAAGGTGGGCTGTCTCAGGACTTCTCCATGCTTGTATCGATCTATGAGTGCGAGTCGACGGGTGGCTCGGAGTGGGTTCTGGAACAGACGATTCACCTAGATGATTTTAGTAAACCTGCAAAAACACTAGATCCACGTGTGAGTGTCGATAGCAACTTGTTTGTTTATAGCAAGTCCGATCTGTTTGTAACCAAAGACAGCCCCAATATCAAGCACTTTGTGCACCTGGACTGGCTGTCTAAAGAAGATGGGTCACACATCCTGACGGTGGGGGTTGGATCCAACATTCTTATGTACGGCCGTATCTCAGGGATTGTGACCGAGCAGACAGGAGTAAAAGATGGTATGGCAGTCACCCTGCCTCTTGGAGGAAGTATAAAACAGGGAATTCGCTCTCGTTGGGTGCTTCTGAGGTCTGTGAACCTTGTCTCTTCTGTGGATGGGACTCCATCCCTACCAGTGTCTTTATCTTGGGTGCGTGATGGCATCCTGGTGGTGGGCATGGATTGTGAGATGCAGGTTTATGCACAATGGAGGCAGGAAGAGAAGCTGGGTGACTCTGAAGACAACAGCATCTCCTCCCCAGAAGGCATTGGAGGACGCACCGTGTCTGTTTCGCATGAGGGCAGAGCACGATCTAAGAGTGTCTTTGAAGGTAGTGCGGGAATTGACGATGCATTGCGTCCGCCAGCAGTGATTCAAGATGGTGGCTTGTTTGAGGCTGCCCATTCATTATCGCCCACTCTCCCGCAGTACCATCCAACTCAGCTGCTTGAGCTCATGGACCTTGGAAGGGTACGTCGAGCTAAGGCCATCTTGGCACATCTGGTCAAGTGCATTGCTGGAGAAGTTGCGGTGGTGAGGGATGTGGAAGCAGGTGAAGGTGGTGCCAGGAGGCATCTATCCCGAACCATCAGCGTGACTGGCAGCACAGCAAAAGACACAATAGTTGCCGGTCGAGATGGTGGACGAGATTATACTGAGATCAACTCCATTCCTCCACTTCCTCTATACGCCCTTCTGTCTGCAGACCAGGAAACATCCTATAAAGCAAAGTGGGGAAGGGGAGATGGAGAAGAAGTGGCTAAGACCGGTAAAGGGATGGATCGTGACATCCAGAAACAACCAGAGGATCACTATGCTGACCTCTTTCAGGTGCAGTCCGTCACCACTGATGATTTTGTGAGCTTTGCCACGGAAAAACCAGAGAAGAAGTCTCGTGTGATTAACCTGTCGCAGTATGGTCCCACATACTTTGGCCCCGAACATGCACAGGTGCTGTCTTCACATCTTATGCACTCCAGCTTACCAGGACTCACTCGCCTTGAGCAAATGTTCCTAGTGGCTCTTGCAGATACTGTGGCGACCACTAGTGCTGAAGTAGCAGGACCTACGGATAAGCAGTACACTGGTAAGTTAACTTCTTTTGAGCACTGTCGTCACTAGATGGAATTAGTAATGAGTTTTGCAGATTTACCCAAACAGGTCCAAACTGGGGGGGTCGGAGGGGGATGGCAGCCATGTTGCGTCAGACCACACACCAGCTAATTGGTGGAAAGGAGACAAATTATGATATAGGAATGGTTAAAAGGCCAAAATGGACAGAGGTCAGTGAGCAAATTTGGCCAGTGTGGTGGGGGTTAAACCGGTTTAAACCTGGGATTTTTAACGACCACAGAGAGTCAGGACCTCGGTTTAACGTCCCATCCAAAAGACATCGCTCACTGAGCAGTGTAGTGTCCCCATCAATATACTGGGGCGTTAAGACCCACACGAGTGCCTCCTGCTGGCCTTACTAACACCACTTCCGACAGCTACCTAGCTTTCCCATGTGGTCTCCCATCCAGGTACTCACCAGGCGCAGCCCTGCTTGGCTTCAATAGGTGACTATGTGAGAGCTGCAGAGAGCTAGCTGCTTGCAGTGTCTATGTCAAACTTCAGTTCCTGGAGGGCTTAGATTAGTGCCTGCTACAGTCAAGGTGCAAGGAGAAGGGTTTGGAGACTATAGGATAAATCAAGTGGCATATGTGTGCCTATATCAGGAGAGGGCAGGTTTTGTCCCGAAGAGCCACAGTCCTGCAGAATTGCATTCCAACTATAATCAAACACAGCGGCACAAACAAATAAATGTCTAAGGTCTATAAGTACTGGAAATCTACAGGCAGGACAGGTTTTATTCAATTAATTTATACATTGTATATATATATATATATATATATATATATATATATATATATATGTATGTATGTATGTATATATTAGGCTAGTGGTTCTAAACCATGTCCTGGAGGACCACCAGCGCTGCATGTTTTGGATGTCTCTTTGTCTGTCACACCCATTGCGAGTCTTTAAGTCTCTCCAAATGAGCTGATTATTATTTGAATTAGGTGTGTTTGGTTAAGGTGACATGGAAAATGTGCAGAGCTGGTGGTCCTCCAGGAATGTGCCTAAGAAACACTGTATAAAGCCGATGTCACATTTCACTTTTTGTGCCAGACTTCCATTTATATGAATACAGATGCGGCAGAACAGAAACACAAGCTCATGCAACAAGTTTCTCATGCATTGCAAAGCTAAAGCATGGTTCAAGCAACTCTGACCTGTGAAATTGCATTACATGATTGTGTGAGGCCAATAGTAGATCAAAACATGACCTCTCTGTACAGAAATTTAAAATATGGACCAATTGCTTGCTTTTATCAATGTCTAATCTTATTATTTATTCCCGTCCCTTTTCACAGGACTGTACTACTGAATTTCGCAAGCACAAACTTTAGTGTGACTGTGGCTTTAGGCTTCAATTCTTATTAAACATACTTGGTCAAGCTAGTTAAGTCCTTTTGGTTGTTTGAAACCTGCAGTTAAAACCTCAGCCACATTACAGATTAAGCATGTGGAATTCTGTCACATGGTGTTTCAAAAAGGGGTCAGGATTGAACAAGATAATGTGACACTGATAATAACGAGTGCTTGCTTCATATTTTACATTTTTGTACAGAGGTCATGTTTTGCTCTTCTATTGTTCTCAAGCATTCATGTGATGTGAATTTGCAGGCCATAGTTCACAAAGCTTGGACTTTTGAACGCAGCAACATGTGAATTTCCATTCTGCTGCATGCATACAGTATGAATGAAGTCAATGGGTCGAAAAGTGCAGCGTGACTTTAGCTTAAGTGTGTTGAAGCAGGGTTGGAACTACATTCTGGAGGAGTGCTGCCCTCTAGGAACTGAGTTTGACACCCTTGCTCTCATGACTTGTTTCCAGTGAGCAGTGTGTTTCAGTACGGTACAGTGTGATATGCATTTATTTTAACTTTTTATCATCAGAAATTAGGAATAATACCAAAATTGTCTATCACACATACCGCTTTTTTGTATCCTTTCATTGGGGTACCTAGCACAATAGTCCACTTTCTAAAGAGTGGTGTTGCCTACCTACATGTTTTACAGCAGGGGTGCTTAACCCTGTTCTTGGAGATCTACTTCCCCCCCACAGAGTTCAGCTCCAACCCTAATCAAACACAACTGAACCAACTAAAGCTGCAGTCATACTGGACTTTTCTCCCAATAGATGTCTCTCATTGTCTAGTCCCTAAATACGCTTGCTGCAAATCAGCAGTAATGGAAAAGTGTCTAGTAATGATAGCAGAGATGTTAGAATATAGGTGATGTTATGATGGGTTGTGGGCATATTTGTTTTGGTGCTTTGAAATATCAACATCATTTGGTAAAATGTGTTAGTGCACTTTTAACTGACAAAATCAGCCACATTGACCTATCTGTGCATAGTTTTTAAGATAGGAAAAAAAAAACTTTAAATTCAGGAAGACAAAATACAGATTTTATCTCTGTTAACATCAGTATCTTGTAAATATGATGTATTCATTGTGTTTGGTCACTGTATGCGTCATGAGTTAACAAGTACAAAATGTAAGAACCATAATAATCCTTCTTTTAACTAACCTTGATGTTATTATTTATTGTCAACATTAAACATATCAGGCTTTATCTATGTTACCTATAGCTCAGATTATTTTTATTTAGTCTTTATAATATAAAACCTTGACACAGTGCCCTGTTCCTGCTTATTCCTGCTAGATGGAGAAGGGTTCAGGGACTTTAGGATGAATCAAGTGGTATATGTGTGCCTGTACCAGGGATGGGGAGGTTTTGTCCTGAACAACCACCGTCCTGCAGAGCCTAATCAGGGTCTAAGGTCTACTAGAAAGCTACAGGCAGGAGAGTTTTTAATTCAGGATTATGGAGATATTTAAAATTGTGGATTTTGTTACATGTTTGGGCATACATTCATTCATTCATTCATTTTAGTCCCTTTATTAATCCGGGGTCGCCACAGCGGAATGAACAGCCAACTTATCCAGCAAGTTTTTATGCAGCGGATGCCCTTCCAGCCGCAACCCATCTCTGGGAAACATCCACACACACATTCAATCCTATGGCACTTCTTGTAAAGTGTAGGTATTTAACCCCGTCCTGTCCAAATTCTCTCCATTTGCCCTTACCCATCACAGCCTCCCTATCATCCCCATCCACTGAATTGGATCTATCACTGGCTGCACTGGCACCATTGTCCTGTGGCTGACATCGCATCATCCAAGTGGATGCTGCACACTGGTGGTGGTGTGTAGAAACCCCTACTCCCTTTACAAAATGAGCATTCATAACAAATAAACAAACGTAAATATCAATAGGAGTACTGTCGAGTGAGTTCTTACCTCCTTACCATCATACCAGCAGGGATCACAGCTGATTCGTGCTAGACGCGGTGGAGAAAACTCTGCCGACATGCTTGTTTCTGTGTCCAGAAGTAACGCTGTAACAGCTGATAGGAGAGGAAAAGTTACCTCACCCAAGCAGGTCAAAGGGCCACAGTGTGTGTGGGAGAGAGAGAGAGAGAGAAAGAGAGAAATGGAGTTTACTTTCATTTTCTCAATTGCAGTGAAATAGGGGTAAATTCAGTGTCAGTGAAGGACTGTTCAGCAAGGACACATACAGTGAATCGTGCAGAGTTAAGTAGTTGGAGTGTTTTAATTACTCGCGCTTGCGTGTTTCACCATAGTATTTTACCACGAAATAGCGCATATAAGATAAATTACGTCACTACGTAACAACCGGTTAAGATCTTTTACTGAATCGTTACCACATTGTCCACGTCTGCATTGCGGTGCATTGAAGAAACAATTAATTTTGACACCCCTTATATATATATATATATATATA